TAAGTTGATTAATTAATGTCTTTATTGTCCTACTGTTGGATATGTAGTGATTATTAGGTGTTTGGGTAGTTTCATACCTACTTGTCATCCTTACCTTGACCGAACTTCGTAAGAAAGCAACAACTTGATTAAATTAAGCTACAATAGTACTTAATACTTCAAAGATTTCAACCAAACTTTTTAAATTTGAACGTGTTTGAAAGAAGATGCGAGACAGTTAGATGATCACTAGTTAGGTAGTAGTCCTTCAATCCTTGCAAGGCTAATATATTTTGAAGTTTCTTAAACTTGTAACCAAGTTGTAATGAGCTTTTCTTTTTTAAGATTAAATGCGTGATTTAATTTGACCAAAAGTCTGAAACAGAAATTAGTCAATTAACATGTGTAGTTGCAGCTAACTAGAAGAGTTTCTCAAGTTGCATCATTCACCAAAATCCCCTAGTCATTGTGTTTTGCCAACCCTGCAAGTCTATTGCGTGCTTCCACATTTCATGTTGTAAACAGAAAAGATTATAAAGCGAATCTATCATATGACGAGACAGTGAAATCAATTACCAATCTGTCTCTGCAACAAGACAGTGAAAACGAAGAATGAATTTAAGTTGCAAATATCCATATGAGTGCTAGCTAAGACCTAACGCTTCCACTCCGTAGTTACCCACCAAAAGTCAAAAGCACCACCCCATGATTGGTAATTGAAAACTGATAAAAGGCATTCATACATAATAAATTCACCTTTACCTAAGATATTCCTACAAAGACTATATTGCAAGTAATCAGTGTTATTATTTTCTTCAAAGATTCTTGTTGGAAAAAAATTAAAGTCGCCGCATGTCCTTTCCTTAAAATATAAGTATAGAAATAGCTTATATATACATAATTATTTTTATTGAAAAAATAGATTTTTTGAGTGATAATTAAAAGTAAAATTATGAAAGTTTAAGTCCAAAATAGATAATATCTTTTTAATATAGAGACATGTGTATATGAAAATCTCCTGGTGCATAACAAGTAGTATCAGAATTATTGATTCAATCAAGTGACCAGTGGATATAAGTATGATGGTTGGTAACTGGATCTAGGTATAGGATCTCTGGTGTCAAAATTTTTCCTTATAGTAGGTCCTTAATTATATATATGAAGGAGAGTTTTTTTGATAACATGTTAGGAGACATACTTTTCTATCATAAGTTAACAATGAAACGACGGTACAAGTATTTAGAGTATGATTAAACTCTGTAAACCACCATTAGATACTAATAGAATTAAAAGTTGGCTTCCACCGCAAGAAGGTTAAAGCTTAATAATTTATTTGAGATGATTGTTGGGATATAATCGAAGTCCCATATCCATAAAAACATAAACATAAACATAAATTTATATATACACACTTATCTCTATTGGAAAGAGATTTTTTGGGTGATGATAAAAAATAAAACTATGAAGGTTTAAATTTAAAATAAACAATATTTTATTAATGGAAAAATATGTATGTATGATCCTATTGTATACTAACAATTCTTTTTCTTATTTGGAACACTAAATCTATCAAGAAAAATGGAAATCAACATGGATTGTAATAATGAATTAATATTTAGCATTTAGTTGCTTTCTTGAATTATAGGAATTTCCTGATAGAGATGCTGGTTGATGCTTTGTCAAGCTCATTTTCAAATTATATATGAAATTGAAATAAAATTTTTTAATAAGCATATTCAATTTCCAAGTTTGCTTAATTATTTCTCTTTGTTTCTTTTTAATAAAAGACAAACAATTATTTAAGTCGTGTTGACGAAGATTCATTTAACCAATTTAGATAATTAAATATAAAAAATATAAGAATCATGATTGAATAGTTAGGAATCAGTGTAGTTCAATAAACATTTGAAATGATTAGAAATTAGATATTGAGTGATTACAAAAAAAAAAAGGCTTGAAATTTTGTAAAGGAAAAACAAATATAAGAAAATTATTTCAATTGCCCAACGATGTACTCGGTGCCCAGCTATGGTTTGCGTATTATTATGCTGCCCAAATGTCCAACAGAGAGCTAATAACTGAATGTAATAGTTTTTGCTCTCGTAATTGTTCCGAGATACTACGATTTACTCGTACATCTCTCTCCCAATCTTCTATATCTCTCATTAAGTATTCGGTGGTAATCGACTAAACTCACCCAAACTTTGTCTAATGAAATACAATACAACGCTCAAGCTTTAAACTTCTAACATAAATTAAATCTAGATTTTTTTTTTGGGCTTATCCAATCATGCCATGGTATGAGAATAACTCGCAAAAGCCTATATCAAACAAAAACATTTAACAAGAGTCTTCTTAATTAAATTTGAGTTCATTTTTTTTAAGCTAAACCTACTATAGCCAACAAAATATATTGAGTCTTGTACTCTCTTAAGCTCATGACTAATCTATTCTAGGCCCATAGCCAATCTATTTCATAGGCTTGTAGTCGACCTACCTTCTAAGTTCATGATTGACTTCATTTCTAAACTTGTGGTCAATCAACTTAAGGCTAATAATCTTAATAACTATCAATCCACAATAAATTTACATCTTCACAAGTTTATGGACTTGGCCCATGAGATTACAAGAAAATAGACTTATTGTATTGTTATAGGTCAAAGACCAACCAATCATGTTTATGTTACCCAATGTTGACCGACCACTATATGTCTCCTAATGCTAATTGATATCGTCTTAGAAAGGGAAATTGACCAACATGTCATGCTTATAATGATGACTCACTTAAGACACCAAATAGGGAGTATAAATCGCTATTTGATAAGATGAGTATAGTTAAGATATGTCAAACCCATGCATTATAGACTTAATAGAAAAATGATAAGATCATGATGAGAAAATAAGCCAAAAGATCAGGGTCAGGAAGCCTACTGCTAGGTTAGAAGGAGAGAGACACCTCCAAGGAAAAAGGACACTCATTTTAGAAACAAAACACATCTAAGAGGATAGAGAGATTGAGAGAAGATAACTATTGAATGCTTTAGTGACAATGTCCTTATGATCGGAGCTAAACTCATAAGATGGAATGTAGGACTCCATGTTTAAAATTTTAGCATTAATTAAATGATTTTTTTTTGTCTAATTTGATTATGGCTAGACCTTGGATCAACCTCTAAAGATTAGGTTTATATTGAGCTAGAACCTTATTTTAGAAGCATGGATTGAATACAATTATTTTTTTTTCCTGAATCACTTCAATCTTGCAATTGGGCAATTTAAACCTACTTAATAAAATGTAGGACTTGGACTTTACTTTTTAAGTATAAATTAAATTTGATCATTTTTAACCTAATTATTGTTTAGTCCATAAAAGGTTTGACAAATTAGGTTTTTTACCATGCTTAAGACTCATTCCAAATTGAATTTGGAGTTTGGCTTGATCCAATCCAAGTTTGCAACTAATCTAACTTATATTCATCTGATGAAATGTAAGGTTTGAACTTTAAATTTTAAGTATGAATTAAATTCGATCATTTTTAAGTTGATCTAAGCTTAACTCATAACAATTCTATATAAATTAGGCCTTCATTGGGATTAACACTCATTTATAAGTCTTCTTGAATTTGAAGTTCAATTTGGGACTAGTGAAAGTGCAAGTTATTGAACTCATTCCAAATGATTTTTTTTTTGTCCAATCCATGTAAGAATGCAACCAATCTAGCTTAAAACATGCGCTTAAAATTTTGAGACCATATTAAATTTATATCCTTTTAGCTTAATTCAATTATTATCCAATATGACTAGAATTACAATATGTCGATATAAATTGGGCTTTAGGCTTAAGCCCAAGTTCAAAAATCTAAATTAAATATGAATTTTTTGGTGTAATATATTATGACTCATAACTCACATTAGATTCACATTAATCGACTGAAACCCATTTGATGAAATGAAAGGCTTAGACTCTAAATTTTTAACATGAATTAATTTAGGGGCCTTTTTAACCCAACCTAGGCTTAACCTACAAAAATTCCATATAAACTACTTTAAGCCTTACTTTAGTAGTCTAAAATGAATTTGAACTTTTTGTCCTAACTTATTCTGATATGTGATCCACGTTGAGCCTACGTTTTTTATTTATTTATTTTTTTAGCAAAAATCAAAAAAATAAATAAATGAGTTGTTAATTTGAATAGAATCATATTTGATCTCTTTAAATAAAGTCTCAAATTCAAGTTTTATGAATGAAAAAAAAATATATTCGAGAAAAGAGATATCAACTAAGTTAATAAATACTTCGTAAAAATTACATGATTATGAAAAGAAAAAAAATATGAAAAATAGTTTTTTAAGAGTTATGAAAAGTGTTATATTCTATAAATCCTCTAACATGTTAGTTAACTAAATATTAAATAAAAATAATAAATTTTAAATTTTAAATAAGTATATAAAAGTTTAATGATAGAAATATTTAAAGAAAAATTAATATCATTTAAAATTTTAAGAAAAATATATTTTGAACAAAAGTGTTAAAATATTTATTATTAAAAAAAAATTTATTCGATCAACCAATCAAAATATACTATAACCATTAGAATTGACTTGGTAATAAAAATTTTAAAAGATATATGAAAATTTAGAGTAATCTAACGTAAATAAAAATACTGTAAGATAATTTGCTTAACATTTTAATAATTATGTTAAGAGTAAAATTGAAAAAGAAATCTTTACAAATTTTATTTTTTTTATAAAAATAATATTTACGATTAATTAATCAATTATAATAATAACTAACTAATTATACAAATAATAATTTTTTTTGAAAACACAAATAATCAATTATTAAAATTAGAGCTCTACGGTGGCACTCTAATTTAACACATATAATTTATTACATTTTTTTTCGGATTACATTTACTCCAACTAATATAGTATAATGGATAAAATGTAGTTGAAATATGTAAAAAGGAAAAGAAAAAAAAAACTTTTTTGTTGTTTTAAGAAAAGTCCCATAAAATATAGTAATTTAGAAATCGAGGAGCAAAGATGAGGGAAGAAGGGGTTTTGTTCTTCTCCAAATCGATGAAGGGCAAAAGGCTTCTTTCAGTGCCTGTGTTGGCAGTGTTATCGTTGATACTTTTCACGTATTACACTTCAATCTTCGTCTTCCTCCATGATTGGCTTGGTTTGCAGAGTTCCCCTGGCACTTTGAACGCCTTCCTCTACTCTCTCTTCGCCTCTCTCACCCTCGTCTCTTTCTTCTGTTGCCTTCTCACTGACCCCGGCTACGTCCCTTCTTCCTACGCCCCAGATGTTGAATTCGCCAAAGATGTAAGCTTTTCCCTCATCTCTATCATGGGTCTCTGTTTAATCAATCCCACGAATGTTTGGTAAATGGGAAGCACATTTGTTGATGGAGATCCACGTGTACTAGTTGTATGATCATAGTAGTGTATGTAAGTTGGGAATAATTCTTCGCTTATAAGTTGGTTTTGTTAGGTTGAGCTAGGCTGAAATTCGCTTTCCTAAGATGTCATTAGAGCCTATGTTAGATAGTATTGTTTAGCTTACCAGACACCTGCTATCGGGATCGCATACAGATGTCTAGTCCTGCAAACTTCAAGCTCGTGATGTCTGTGTGAGGAGTGTGCATTGGAGATTTGGAGAATTGGTTTTTGTTCTTATGTGTGTATATGTTTGTGTCCCTTTTGTGAATCAAGTAGGGAATTGAGCCGAAATTCTCTGAATCTTGGTTGCATTTTGTAAATTATTAATGGATCAATGCTGCAGGTGTTTCAATTTAGCTGTTATGTCTGACTATTGAATAATTTACAGGGTTTAACTCGTAGCTGTTTGCACTTGTATATGATTCTATGATTAGATGATCTAGCATTTCCTCCCCCCCTTTATGGCCATGTATTAGTCATCTACTTTGTTTGATCTTTTGCTGAGTTCCTTAATTAAGTTGCTGCAGAATGCAGAACAGATGAAATGTAACAAGTGCTATGCATACAAGCCTCCGAGGACTCATCATTGTCGAGTCTGCAGAAGGTGTATTCTAAAAATGGTAGGTTAGTCACTTCTCAGCAATGGATGTTACTTTGAGCTTCAATTTTGTATTTGAGTTCTCGAAGTAGGGATTTATCCTGACCTTTTTTGTTCGGTTGCTAAATTTGATGTAGGATCATCACTGCTTGTGGATAAATAACTGCGTTGGTTATTGGAATTATAAAGCTTTCCTTGTTTTTGTATTATATGCCACCATATCAAGTATTTATTCTATGGTATGTTTTCAATATGGCATCGCCTAGTTTTGTAGTGAACAGGATTCATATTTGACATAAGCTTTTGCAATGTGCAGATCATATTTATAAGCTCTATAAATCAGCAGGACTGGGATTCCATTAAAGGGAACAGTTCTCTTCGGATATTTTATGTAAGTTGCATGCTATTATTTATGGATGTTCAAATATATGTGCCATAGATTTTTACTCCCGTTGAAGAAAGATGTATAAAGAACTTGTAGGCCATACTTATTTCTCCTCTCTAAAGGTTATTGTCTGTTCAAAACTTTAAACTCTTTCAAAGCATTTTATACCTTATGAATCATTAAGTTAATTTCAGCTGCATGAATTTGTCATAGTTACTTGTACTCTATTCATGTTATTACATGTCTCCTTCTAGTTTGTTCAACTGTAAATAATCCTAAATGTCATTTTCCTTCAATTATAAGCTGAGGCATTTTCTTAAGTTGAGAGAGAACCCTTATACCTCTGCTTCACTAGTTTGCTTTATTACATTTTTACTCTATCATACATATATATGTTGTATTAGCATATTAAGTTTGTAGTAGCCACAACAACAACAGTAGTCTTAATAGAGTGTTAAAATCTGATTTGATCCAATAGCATTGCAGCAACTGATCCTAATAACCACAAATTGAGAAAACCAACCCTTATACCTCTGCTTCACTAGTTTGCTTTATTACATTTTTACTCTATCATACATATATATGTTGTATTAGCATATTAAGTTTGTAGTAGCCACAACAACAACGGTAGTCTTAATAGAGTGTTAAAATCTGATTTGATCCAATAGCATTGCAGCAACTGATCCAAATAACGACAAATTGAGAAAACCAATAGCCAATAACCACAAAATATGACTGCATGTGAAAACTGAATTGCACCAATATCAATATATGCTATATATGACACTGGTGCTAACTGATTAATTTGTCAATTCTTTTATTGCCTGTCTAGTGTTGCTTACTACTAGTAGTAATGCTTAAGATTGTCTTGACATAATTTTTACTTTGGAATTTGGACTATTTAGCATGTAATGTCACATATTAGGATTTTAAGTTTGTCCGGACTTAATTTCCATTATGGGTATTGGATTGTCTATTGTCACAAAAGTTGATTATGTTTTGGATATGATAAATGAATGTTTTGATTGAGTATGTACTTCATCTTTTTTTTCTTTTTCTTTTATTGATTCTCTTAATTTGAAAAACCAAAAATTGATCCAATCCAAACCGATTTAAATTGGGTTGGACTGGATTTGGAATAAAATCATAATCAATTAGATGATTAAATGAAAAAACTGAAATAATTGGTTTGGATTTTCTTATCCTCAAAATCGATCCAATCCAAACTGTGAACTCCTTTAAGTCTTATCCTTCTAGGCAAAATTGGTTAAGTGGATCACTTGGTGTCATTAAGCTCGATTGAAAACCAAATTCTTTGGGATATTATTCACCATGAGATCTCTTTCAATAGTTTTTTTCTAATGTCCTTCTTGGTCTCCCTCTACTTCCTTTTCACAGTGCTAAAAATCATGCGATCTACTCTCCTCACTAATGTCTCTCCTGAACCCTCATTTATTAAAAAAAAAGTATCTTAGTAGCCTTTTTCTATCAATCATTTTTGTTAGTACTTTAGTTTTCTTCACACCCTTGCTTTTATATGAAAATAGAATAGCTATCGAGACTTTTTATATAGTTAATGAAATAATATCCAAAATTAAAGTTCAGGGTTGCATTTGCCAAATCCTTAAAGTTGAGGATGATTTTGTGCTTTTTCCCATTCATTTGCTTTTACTTTTCCCTATTACTTAAGCATATCTTTATTAAATATTTATCTTATCATATTCTTGTTGAAAGTTATCACTCTCCTTATGTATGTCTTTTTAGTGTTCAAAATTTTGTATGCCTACTGTTTGCTTCTACAATAGTTAGCACACATTAACCATCCAGAGCTTGTTTCTGGCTTAAATGCTTAATCATCATTCACATTTTGCTCATTATTAGGCTTGATAGCTTTGCAATATATTTATTATTGGATGAAGATGTGACTGTAAGCAGTGTTATCAAAACACGGTTATGGCGGCGCCATAACGGGGCCATAATGGCGTGGCGGTGGCGGCCGCAATCCTTTATGGCGGTTTAGGGTGAAAATGGCGGGGTTCCGCCATTTTGGAGATGGCGGCCGTTACGGCGGGTGGCGGACATGGCGGACATGGCGCCGTTTTTGGGCCATTTTTTTTTTGTTTTTCGTTTTGGCCCTTTTTTTTTTCGTTTTGGGCCTTTTTTTTTATTTTCTGGTTTGGACCCGGGTTTGTTTTCTGGGTTGGGCACCCAACAGATGAAATAGGGCATTAGAAACCCTAAATCACTTACAGTCCCTTTCTTGCAAACCTCCCCCCCCCCGCAACTGCTCCGACTCCCACGCCGCATCTGCCACCATCGCCGACGACGCAACCGCCATCGACGCCGACGACTCAACCGCCGCTGTCGCCTCCGACGCAGCTGCCACCGTCGCAGCCTCCGACGCAGCCGCCACCATCACGTAAGAACTAAGAAGTCTCTTCTCCTCCGCTTGCATCACTGTCGCGCCACCATAACCTCCGCCACCACCGCAGCTGCCTCCGCGCACGCCACCCTAGCCTCCCCGCGAGCCACCACCACCTCCGCCGTCACCTCTGCACGCCACCCACCGTGACCTCCGACAAGATTTTCTTCCTCCTCCTTTGAGTTTTGCCATCACAACTGCCACCGCATCCGACAATCCGACAATGTCAGGGGAGGCAGAGGATTGTTGCTTTGTTTTAGGATTAAACAAAATAGTTTTAGGAATGACAATTGTGTTTTGCTATTTTTTAACATTGTTGCTTTGTTTTGATGGCTATTTTTGTTGGTTAGGGGTTTATGTTTCTTTATGATGACTATCAATAGATTATAAATGCCATGAATTTTAGATTGTTATATGGTTGGTTTTAATATGTGACTGTGTTTGTTATTTTTCTACTTTTGCATCATATTATATATATATATATTTTATTTTATTTTTGTCCGCCATGATGTCCGCCATAGACCGCCATGGCATCCGCCATGGCAATATGGCACTTAAAGGTCCTTGCCGCCATCCGCCGTATAACCTTATTGATAACCTTGATTGTAAGGCGGATCATAAGATCCTATCTAAAATACAAAATTGTGTTCACACACACACATACCTGTATATATAAGAAAATAACCCTTAAATCACAATGAACATTAAATTAAACATCAATTGAAAATGTGAAAGAAGGTCACTTACACTTCTGAAGTCACAAACTCAACTTAAACTAAATTTACAAGTTTACAAATCCAAATATAAAGAAATATAAAGTTATAAGTTTTTGACAACTCCTAAAACTAAAACACTAAATGAAAACAGCCCAACAATTAAATATCTATAGCAAATCATTTTGGCCACGATCATCATATTAAATATATTTGATATAATTTTCATCTCCAACATTATCAATAGCATCTTCTCCATCTCTATCAGCTTCATCATCAAGATTAAAAATCTTCAAATCATCTAGAGGAGCACTGGCCGACTGAAGTACCCTTGCGCCAACCCCCTGACCTGCCATGATCTCTCCATTCCCTGTATTATACATTTGTTACCTCTTTATCTTTTGATTCTATTCCATGGCTACTAGTGAAGCTATTTCTGTTGAGTGGTGACAAACTATTGTTGATAAAATGGCTGCTTTACTGACTAAGTTTAGTTCAACCAGTATTTCTACTGGTCTTTACTCGAGGGCTGTGGTTATGATGTGGGGGTTCAAAATCTGCATCCCCATTTTCCATTCCCTTTTATGTCCAATATGCCCTACTTGGAACTATAAAAATAGAAGAATAAAAAAGATAAAAAGGAAATGGCTGTGATAGGGGGCCAACAGTTAAGCAAGTCTGTCAGAAGAAAAGGGGATAAGCCACTGGCTGACATGACCCAAACTAGCCCAACAGTTTTTAGTTGGAGAAGTTGTCAGTGAGTTGGTTACTTTTTTATCTCAACTGTTAAGGGAAAGGGGCTTTTAGCCAAGATAGTTAATGTCATAGGAGAGTCCAGAGTCTCAAATTTCTTTAGGAATTTTACTTGTACTACACCTAGTCTACACTTGCTGACTCTAGTCTGCAATTTTGTTCTCAATAAAGCAAGATTCATTTTTTTGATAATTCTGCCATGTCAGTGTAACAAAAAGAAGTGCATCTTTTGTGCATCCAAGGTTGAATATTTGGGCCATGTTATTCCAGCAACAGGGATAGCAATTGACCCCAAGAAGGTAGAGGCATTTCAAGTATCCAGATCCTAAAAATGCTAAAGGACTTGCAGGGATTTTGGGGCTCATGTTATTGCAAAAGATTTGTCTGATGCTAAAGAACAAATGCCATACGTTTCACTAAATTGCTTAAAAAAGACTAGTTTGCATGATCAGAGGCAGCACAATAGGCTTTTTCACTATGATAACCTTGTCCATGTTAGCTGTCCCTTGCTTTAGCAAAACCATTTGTGGTGGAAACCTTTATCTTATATCAGCCATGCCTTGTTTGAAAGGGCACAGCTGAAATCAGTCTATGAACAAGAATTAATGGCCATTGGCCAGCAGCATAATCTTATGGGTCAGTACTTTGTGATACTCACTGACCAGAAAAGTCTCAAGTTTTTGACAGAACAGAGTGGTGTCTAAGGAGCAATTCAAAAGGACCTCCATGCAACTGGGATTCGATTTTGAGAGATTCAGTGTAACCAAGAAACAACACAATTACAGATACTTTATCCTGATGGATGTCATATGCTGCACTCTCCCAGGTTTATGTCAAGATTAGGGAAATTGGGGAACAGAATTGCCGGATGATCAGAAGCTGCAAAAGTTGGTGCTAGACTTGATTGCTGAACCAACTTCCCATCCAAGATACTCTTTGGGGAAAGGGAGATTATTTTTACCATGAAAGGCTGGTGCTTTCTAGATCTTCTAGCTGAATTCCATAGCTGTTAAGAGTTTCATAGTTCATTGTTGGGTGGCCATTCTGGTCTCTTTTGTACACACAAGAAATTAGCAGAAGTTGTATTATGGGAAGATATGAAAGACATACAGTCCTTTATTGAACACTACGATATCTGCCAGAGGTATAAATACGGGGTATTGGCCCAATCCTTTAGAATTTGATAGGAGAGTTCAGAATCTCTCAAATTGTACTACACCCTGTCTACACTTAATTGAGTCTAGTCTGGAATTCTGTTCTTCAATAATGCAAGATTCATTTTTCCATTCATTCCAGTGTCAGTGTAACAGGCTGCTTTGCACCCTAGTTGCACTTTGGAACTGGTTTTGTTACCTTTCGTCAAGTCCCTAGTTAATTGTCATGGTTTAGTAGTTTACATTATTTTGAGGTTGGTCCTGATAGATACATTGATTACCTGAAGGCAAGATTACTTATTAAAGGTCACACGATTTATAAATTATAAGTTAGATTATGGTGACACTTTCTCCCTTGTGGCCAAGATTGCCTGTGTTTTCATCCCTCTCTTTCCTTGGCGGTTATCCAGTGTTGGCCCATAATCCCTATTTTAGTTCCTCATCAAATAAGCCTTTCTCCATGGAGAGTTTGCAGAAGTTTATAGGGAGAAACCACTTGGATTTGTTGCCTGCGGGAAACCTAGATTGGTTTGCTGCTTGCGTCACTATGGTTTTCATAGTGAGATAAACCATTCCGTATTTTATTGATACTCATCCCAAGGTCAGAATAAATTAATTGTTTAAGTTAATGTCATTGTCATTAGGTGCTGTGAAGAGGCAGGAATCTATCGATTGAAATGTCTTTGATAATTGTCAGACTAGGAATTTGGGTGACTAAGTATTTTTTAGGTATCGAGAATTTGAGGTGGCTCAATCTACATTTAGTGTTGGAATATCCTAGAGAAGGTATGTGCTTGTTTGTGGACATTTCTATGGATCCAAATGGCAAGCTTCTGCAGGAAAGAGTCACTGACAATACTTTTTAATATGTTTAATTTGTGAATGATATGGTCACTTGTTAGACAGTGAAATACATTAATCAAACGGTTTCTCAATTGACTCCTTTCTATATCCACACTGATTTTCATCACAAGTAAACCATGAAGCAACCTGACTTCATTTTCCCTCTTCTGGTGATCATCATAAACTTTTAGCGACTTAGAGTCAGAGAATGGGACTTTACATGGTTTTCTTTTATTAATTCTTATTTTTTCTTGAATCATAAACTAACGATGAGATTTATGAATGGTATTTAGGTCACGTATGGAGTGGTGTTGTTGATCTTGACCATAACACTTTTGACTCTTTTTGGATGGCATGTCTACCTTATCCTTCATAACATGACAACCATAGAGGTAGTTTTCAATTGAATGTACTTCATTAAAAAACCTTATCTTCATCTATGTCTTGAAAGATGTCATTTTGTTCATTTTTTCTAGTATCACGAAGGAAATCGTGCCAAATGGCTGGCTATGAAGTCTGGGCAGAGCTACCGGCATCCATACAACGTTGGCGCATACAAAAACATTACTTTGGTCTCTCCCTATTTTATTTTCTTTACTGGCACTAATTTGCTTGTATGTACTGATGGTGTTTCTTACCTAACGATATGTTCATCTGTCAAATGACCAGATTTTAGGTCCAAACATGTTGAAATGGTTCTGTCCCACAGCAGTTGGCCATCTGAATCCGAAGGATGGGGTTAGCTTCCCCACATTACGTGATAATTCTTGAACCTATTCTGATCTGACCGCATCCTGAATCAACAGCAGGTCATGCCTATGGATCTTGAAATGAGGAATTAGCTCGTTCATCTGAAATTGACACTCAGAGAAAAGAGTTTAAAGAGAAAAGGCAATTGATCCTTTAAGCAAGCCTTGAGAAAGTAAGCTTATGCATAGATATTTTATCCAAAAATGTTTGATTGTCAGTCTTTCACCAGCTAGGCTTCATCATAGATTGTTGAAAACGGAAACTTTATTTAAAGGATGTAAATCAGGTAACTCATTTTTCCTTTGATTTTATTCCTGGCACATAGCCACATACTTAGAATAATTGCAGGTGTGTCACAAGGGTCTTTTCATAGTGTTAGTGGAGAGTTTCTAGCTTTTTTCGTTTGTAGGTTTAGCCATTCTGGTTGTGGTATCTTTTCTGTTCATTTTATTATTGAGAAATGACCTTCAATTTTATATTTCCTGTGTATAAAATTGATGATTATGACTTCTATACATTTTCTGTCCATTTTATTGTATCAAGCAAAGAGACATTGTTGTGCCCATATTTGTTCTAGAGTAAATTACAAATTAAACCCTCTCACCCCCATGAAGGGTAGGATTAGGATACAGTTGTGCCCCGCGTATTTTGGATATTTCAAGCACTGCCTCTGTTATTTATCAAATATCAATTTCATAGATATACTCTTTCATAAAGTTTCCTTTCAAACCAGTTGTCGAATGCTATCATGAGTTTTTACGTGTTACATCGAACTTCCTTTTGGTTTATAGCTAAAATATATGATTATAAAGAATTAATAAAGTCTCCTTTGCTGATAATGATGCTAGCAATTAGCAAATTTAAATTACATGTTTTGAGATAAATAACTTATATTTACTACATAATATGAATATATAAGTCAATGTAATTTCGATTTTTTGTTAAACATTCCATGCCTACATTAGAATAGTTCTAATGATCACCCCAAGCCCAATAAGCAATGCTGGTCTAGGACACTAGCTGGAGATTGAAGAACAACAGGCAACAAAATGAGATATGAGAAGTATTTTATTATTATTATTTTTTTAACATTATCTGCTAATATTGATTAAATTTTATTGAAAATTACGAAATCTTAAGTGAAGTTTACAAAATTTGGTAACTTGTAATAATTTTTTTTATTAATAATAAAAATATATATTCAAAAAGTGTTGAAGTGTTTATATACATATATATTGATTAAATGTTGTTAGCATAAGTGGTAAGGCACTTATTCTTCAATTAAGGATCGACATATAGTTATGATCGAAAGTATTATTTTACTTTTATAAGAATTGATTTGATAAGAGAGTTATGCCTTTTTATTGTAAAAATAATTGTATATCTTTGTTAGTTTCAAAATATTATTTAAATATCAATTAGTTCTCTAAAAATAATGTCAACCTTTGTTAATTTTAGATTATTAAGATAAATTTTAATCATTATTATTTTTTTTGCTATTTGGTGTGATGTATTCATTAATTATTGTTCAGAAATTTGACTAATTACTTTTAGTAAAATCTCTTTTAATTATATATTCTTTATTTACAATATTTTTATCTAAGACTTTAATAGATCTGAATCTAAATCTAGTCAACTATACTCATACTAATGGTAAACATATTAATGTATTACGTCAACAAGAAATATGAAGATGCTAGATACTGACACAATTTTTTTAATTATTTTTTGGAAAATAGTTGACTATGTTCCCATGTTGTAAACAAGCAGACAAACAGCATACATATATATATATATATATATTGGAAAACAAAAAAAAAATCTACAAAAAGACAACATATAAGGAAACAGCTGGGAATAACTTTTTTTTTTTTTTTTTTAAATTATTTACCAGTAAAAATACATTAAACTTCTATACATGTATTGCTTTTTACCTCCAACTTGATAAACCTAATTTTCTAGAGCTTATGATTAGCCAGCACATCCTTGTAAACTCTAGAATAAACTCCTAAAGACTATTTCTTCACTGTTTCCCTTCTAAAATCATTGAATAAACCAACACTTTGGTCCACTTTGTTCCTTAAAATATTCATTCCAACTAATTATGTATAAAAGGATAGAGATGACCATATTCCATAATTTGCTAATAATCTCAAGGAAGCTCTTATTGGTTGAAATACCAACATCATGTTTAAAGCAGCTTATGCTCAATTATTGATATGAACCAGAACTACGAAGAATAATAAAGCTGAACTGTATGAATAATTGTCTGCTGAAATTGTGTTCACAAAATTAACTTATGTTTTCTTGTAATATTCCTTTTATAATCTTCCTATCACTTTAGCGAATTCGAGTTCAGATTTTTCGAGTAAGATTTTAAGTTTGAATTTTATAGATAAAAAAAATAAATTTAAAAAGAATTTTTTTTATTAAAAATAGTTAGTTGATAGTCGATAAAAGTTAGTAAATATTTTACTCGCATCTGTAACATAATAAAATATATAACATTTTTAAAAATAAAAGTTATTTAATATTTTTCCTTTAATAATTATAAAAATTGTTACTTGAGAGAAGATTCAAAATTACTTGATAAAAAAATATTGGACGATATATTTGTCCTTATGTGCAATCATTTGCATATAAATTGGGTGAATATTTTTATGAATTAAATTAATAAATATCGTAAGATTTGTTTTAGAAAAATGCATCTCTGAAATTTATTCTTCCTAAAATATTAAAAAATTCATTTTTAATTTAAAAATACATAATTATATTAATTAAAGTAATCGTAATCAATATGGTTTTAATAATTTGAACTTTGAAATAATAATACAAATATATTCCGATTCAAATTCTAGTTCTATCTCTCTCTCTCTCTCTCTCATGTGTGTGTGAATTTAATAAATTCTGATTTGGCTATAAATTAATTCTAACCAAATTAAAATAAATTTAATTCTAACCAAATTAAAATAAATTTAATTCTAACCATACCAATATGAATAGAATAAATTACTGACTTTGGAAGAAAAAAAAAAAAGCTCAAAAGTGTATGCAACTTGTTATGCTTACTATATTCAGTTTAGGATGAAAGTGGAAGTATATCATGTTAAATTAATGTCTGTTTGTATTAATAAAATTTGGAAGTGTGCAGCTTTGATGAAGGTGTTGGCCCTTTCTGATAGGTCTTTTTATGTATATGATGGAGAAGGTTAGGAGAAGTGGTAGGTGTTCGCCCACACCTTCATGTCTAGTCAACTCCTCTTGGCTCCTTCAATATGTCACCTCTTGCCTTCCTAGGCATGATTCCATCAGTATAGATTGCTTAAAGGTTTTTACTCTCTGTGAATGTGGGATGATATATCAAGGGATGGATCTGTCTGGTCTATTGTGTAATGTTGGATATGAGGATGTTGGTTACTTTTCTTCCCTATAATTTCTCAAATTAGGTTTCTTTTTTTCTTTGGTGAAAATTTCTCAAATTAGGTGTGGACTCTTATTTATGGCTCCCTAGGATTTTCTCTTTTCTTTCCTTCATCTTGCTTGAATTTGTTTATTCACATGGCCAAATTCTTTGTGGAAAAAATATATATAATGAAATACTATGATATTATTTGATATGTGGTAATGTGATATATTAAGTTTTTAAGAAATGATATTATATTCGAATCCAGTTTTAGATAGAGTTTATTTGTTTATAAATTTGTAAGTATTTTTTTGAGAATTTCTCTACTGAAGAATAATCTTTATTATTTCTAATAGAGAAATTCTTAGGAATATTGTTAACTTATATTCAAACAAACTCTTAAGATTTTAGCACACTTAATCATACTTTTGATTTTCAAAAAATTTGGAGAATTCTTTTTTTTTCAGATTGATATATTGACCATCATTATTGTATCTCTAAGTGTTACCTTGTTAGAAGGTTGGGGAACTCTTGTACCCCTCTCAATAATGTTTTGCTTATAAAAAAGATGGTATATGTAAATGTTTATGAGAGAAAAATAAAAATTGGGACCCACGGTTAAAAGAAGGTTTTGAAGAATAATGCATGAAAAATTGATTAATGGAGAAGGCATGTGTATGTATGGTTGGTGGGCAAGTAGGGGGGTTTATTAATTGGTGGATTCAGACATGAAGATAAGTATGTGAGTTCTATAAATAAAGCAATGTGCATCTTGGTCGATTCAGAGACAATATCTTATTATGCTTCTGCGACTAATTCTTTTCATGCCCAAGACAAATTCTGTCTAACCAATCACAGTTGTGTGTGCGCAAACCTGGTGGGCTTGTATTTATGCACCATTATTATTGTTATTATTATTTTATTTTATTGTTGGATTGATATTAGATCATCTTTGAATCGTAGTAGTTGGGTAAGAAAAAGTTGGGATAGTTAAAAGCACGATGATCTAGGTTCAATTCTTATTATGATCATCTTATATGAATTAATGAGGTAACTATATTAGTTAACATAAATGAGAACAATCTTTGTCTATATCATTTCTTTTATATCCAAAATTGAATGATAGATCATGTTACGCCTAACTTAGATGAACTATTGAATAATTTCATATTATTTGTATCATATTATAAATATAAAGTATATTTCTTAATTTTTTTGTGAACTAATTTCAGTTTTTAAAAATATTTTTTATTTATTAAAAAAAATTACATTTTGTTGTATAAAAACTTGAATATGAAAATGGTTGCGAGTTTTCAGCTTTTGATTTCAAATAATTTTTAAAATAAAATGTGTTTGAAAATTTTGGATTTAAAATACTTTTTAATTTAATTTCAAAATAACTTTGTATTTATTTTCAAAAAAAGATTTAAAATTTGGTTTTTAGGGAAATTTTTTTTTGGGTATTAGTTAAAAATAAAATTTTGCTACATTTAACAATGATCTTTTCTACTACTACTACCACCACCAACAATGGTCACCCTTAGTATGAATTGGTGGTGCGACCGGTCAAAATAGTATGAATTGATGGTGCGACTGGTCAAAATCTCATTGTTAGAAGGATATCAAAAAAATTCTATTTAGTTTATGTAATATAAAAATAAAACTTTTATAATTAAATTATATAAAAAATATATAAGAGAAAATAAATTAATTATTAACAATTTACCAAAAAAAATTAATTGTGAACAATTAATAATAAAAAAATCCTCTAATCAGCACTCCTAAAATTAGGAAAATAAATCGATAATATTAAACATAAAGAAAAAATTATGATATATTATTTACTGATTTATCTTTTTTTTTTCTCTTGGTGAAAATTTTCATAAATGTTCATGTAAAATCATAATTTAGGAGTTCCTTTAACTTTCTCTTTTTTTCCCTTTATTTTTAATTTCTTTAATTATTTTTCTGTTTTTAAAATCATGAGCTATTTATTTCGTTGAAATTTAGAAATTAAATTGCGAGCCTCTACCTCCCCCCTTTGAGCTTCTTTATAATGTGTCACTATTCTTGATTCATTTTTTCAATGTGTACTGTCATCTTTAAGGATAATAACTCATAGTCTCATACAAATACGCTCATTTATTTTTTTTAGTAATT